TAAGCTAAAAGCTATATTTAAGCATTAAACGGTGCAGTTTGGCGTTCAAACTGCACTTCGCATCGAATTTCGGAATAAATTCGCTTCGCGCGAATTAAAAGCAATAAATTGTTACTCACTTTCCAGATTGACAAACTAGCAAGAAAAATTATTTAAAGCAATGGAAAAATCAAAAATGGAAAATAAATAATCTTTTTCGCGAACAAAAATAAAGGATTTTGCCCGAAAAATAAAAAGAAATCAAATGCCACAAACCTTCTCGCATAATAAACGATTCACCGTCAAAAAGTAACGCAATTAGCACGAAACCCACCAAAAAAAAAATCGTAAAACGGTTACTAAAAATCAGCTATAAATAATTCCTCTATTGCAGCCGCATATCTGAAAATTAGTGATTCGGATTCTGTGCCACCCTCAGTTTCATTGTTAATTTCAAATTTCACTGAGAAGATAGGTTTGGTGTGTAGCAGGAAGTTATTGAGGAAGTTCCTTCGCGAAATGTTTTTTCATTAACAGATTGGGAATCTTAATTTCGTGTCTTTCCCGGCATTAGGGATTTACTCTCATGCTATCCTCTAGGCTTACTCTTTGGCTGTCAAGGATTATAGTGCACTTAATATTTAGGCCTTGGCTTCAGGCCTGGACTACAAGTTTTGGCTTAGGATTGGCAGCAGACTGGGATTACTAGCATTTGGAAGTCGGTCTAGAGTTTTGATTTGCAGCGTGGGCTTCCTCAGCAGTAGTTACGAAAACTAATTGACTGGTTATTTGCCTCGAAGTATTCACTGCCAACTTTTATTTTGCCTCTTCACCTTTCTTTTTATTGTCGAAATTTAAATATTTTTATTATTTTGTATAAGTTTCGGAATTTTGCTTCAAATGAATTTATTCATTATTCAAACAAAAATGAAAAACTGTCCCATCAAGAAGTCATAAAAAAATGCATGAAATCAATCGTTATTTGGCGACTTTTTTTAAAAAAAATTTTTTTTCTCGTTTTTTTGTAATAAAATTTTTTTAGTTTTCCGGTCTTTTTATATGGGTTTTACTAAAAATTGAATAATAATTTATATAAATAAATTTTTGCTAAAAAATTGACTAAAGAAAAATTTATTTCACAGAAGATCGAGTAGGCCAACAGTCTATAAATTTTTCGTTTGCTTTTATAAATAATTATAGCATAAAATATCAAAACAAAAAAACTAGAATATACAGTATATAAAATTATAAAATTATCACAGTGAAGGTCGAGGATGTGTATGTACTAAGTGTGTCAAGGATAATTCTGTTTGATTTATTTTTTTCCAAATTAATGACAATCTGCTTTAATTAATGACAATCTCTCTCGATCTTCTCAGATAACTATTGTTACGAATGAGAAAACTAGAAGGCACTTTTTCAGTTGACATGGATAGATTTCCGTACTTCCAATTTATTGCTTCTTATATTATTCAGATTTGTAGAAAATTTCTTAGAAATATTCCTAAAAACTGAGTCAAAAAATGACCAATTTTTTCATCTTTATTATTAGCTACTTTATTAGTTGTAGTAATGATGATAATAAAAAAAAATTTCGGAAGTAATTTTACTACTATCAGATTCGGATAACGCTTGAATTTCAAGAAAGACACTGCGAATTGAATAAAATCTAATATAATGAAATCCTAGCTCTAATAAAGAAAAAAAGAGTAAAAAACAGTGTAATGAGAATAAAAAAGTGTAGTATATTTATGGATCTATGGATTAATATTTTATATTAATATTATTGATAACAAAAAAAAGGAAAATTGACAACGATGCCAAAAAGCCATAAATTTTAACATTTTTTGTTGATTAAATTTCTAATTTTGAATAATTTTTGAAGCAAAGAAGGATAAGAGAAATTTAAAATGCGAAAGTTTTTTCTACTAAAATTTGATCGCAAAAAATTTCGATATTTTTATGCTTGGGAAAGTGTTTTCAATAATAAAATTTCTCTTAATTAATTTTTTTAAGCTTTAATGCAAATTGATTTGAAATTTCATTTGGGAATATTTCATTGTTCAGAAATCATTTTCAGATTGTGTGCAACGACTATATTTGGCAAGATTATGCTAAAAAGCTTATCTCTTATCAGTCAATAATAAGTAATTACAAGGATTTATCAATATACAATCTGCTTCTAATAACTCGCACCATTTCTGGTTTCGCCGATTTTCCTGGTTTCCGTCCACTGAGGCGTCTTCAAAGCCCTCCATGGAATGCCATTCCTGAAAGTAACTGAAGCCATTTCTTTTTTCTCATTCTAAGCTAATAAAGAGCTGGGTTCATCTCTCTCGATCTTCTCAGCCCAGGCCTTGCTTGAATAGTGCTCTTCGCTTTCAATACCATCCATAATAATGCTTGGTGAATGGCAAGATATGTGCAAGTTCCTACGATGCATAGCGAATATTAATGAACTTTAACAAATTATGAAAGTCAGTAATAAGTTGTGATAAGGTTTATGCCTTGTTGATCAACAATAAGCAAAATGGGAAGAAATAATCAGTGATCACCAAATAGGCAGTGGCATAAATTTATTATTTACCAGTGGACAAAATTTTTCAGAAATTTTTATTTTTTGAAATTATCTTTAAATTTCTCTTTTTTTAAACTTACCTCTTTTTTAATTATCCTATCTTAATTATCCCATTTTTTGTCTTTGACAGGAAATCTGCCTGTATCTCTATCCTCAAATGACTCTATTGACAGAGATAAACCTGTTATGGTGACAAAAATCTGAATGGCTGCTAGGGAGCCACTTGTATCTCTCTATCCTCAAATGATTCTGGTGAAAGGGTCAAGTCTTTTTGATGCGACGTCCGCATCTTTCCGACGCGCATGATACTTCTGACCAGGTAGTACATGCGATAAATATACGATCCGGACCTAATAATAAAATTCCAAGGCACAAGCATTGAATTTGCTCGCGAACCGAGATAAATACTCAAAATCGGTCAAGAGAGGCGAAAATGTATCCACCAACACTTTGTAAGCGCGGTGCTGACTATAGTTGCTTGGAACGTCAAAACATAATAGATGTTGCAATCAATATCCATATTCTTTCTAAATATCGCGTGGATGCGGCCTGTTTGCAAGAGGTTCGTCTTCCTCATATCGGCTCTCAAATAATTATCAAACATGGTTCTGAGCAAAGATATTGGTTATCATTGGTTATGTCTTAATAGTTCGAAGCGAAATGATGTAGCGTCTGAAAAGACTCGATCCGCTCTGATTGAATGGAAGCCAGTAAATGAATGACCGTATGGCCTACGAGCGTTTCAAAGTTTTGTAATATTTCGATCATCAGTATAAATTCCCCAACTTTATGCGCAGATGATCAGGAATAACTACTATGCGGAACTCCAACTATTGACAACATCTCTACGGAGAGATGACATGGTCATACTTGGGAGAGGATGGAATGCACGCGTAGGTCATGATGACATTTCGATGAACTCGGTAATGGCAAATATGGCATCGGGACCCAATGCGCCAATGGAGAACGCCTTCTTCCTTTTGCTGAACAGCATGAATTCTTTGTTATTAATAGATATTAATAGATGCTTTCTGCATTGGAGAAGACATCTTGTCACGTGGAATTCTCTGGACAACCAATATTCCAATCAGATTGACTATATATTGGTCAGTCACCGCTGGAAGAGTTCTGTACTTGATGGGTGTTCTTATCAAGATGCTGAAACTGGTAATTGCCATGGATCAAATCATGTTTTTGTTCGAGCCAAGATTCGTGTAAAATTGTAATAGCGTATTCCAAGATCTTTCAACTGTCTCAAATTAAAAGATCCGGCAATGTTAAGGGCATTTCAAACCGCATTATTGAAATACCTCAATGAAATGAACGTCAATGACATCTTTGGAAAGGCGAATGAATACTGGTCCCAACTAAAGACATATCTACAAAAGTCAACCACTTCCAGACTAGGATATTTTAGTAGGGAGTGCTAGTTAATAACGGAAGTAGTGCCTGAAAAAGCTGTTATAGCCCGAATATCAGGAAATCATGATTATCGAGTTCTTCGAAGAATTACAACGACAGCTGTACGGAATCAAAAATCGCTATTGGAGCGATATGGTCTTGAGAATGGATAAAGCAGAAAGATGATAATAAGAAGCTGTTTCGCCTTCTCTGCAAAACAACTATATAACTCGTAAAAGAGTTAATGAAATAATATGGGATATTAATGGGGCGTCTGTTAAGGCTATTAAGGATAAAATGGAAAAAATTTTTTGAGGTCAAACTGGCCAAACTTAATATCCACGATATGCACATAAAAAACATGATGCGCCATCTGTTATCCATCCCGGATATAAATGATTCGTCGAGCCTTACGTTTACAATTGTGAACCGCCAACATAAAAGGAAATAATCTCTGTAATCCATAAACTTAAGACCAATAAAACTCCTGGAGAAAGTGGTCTTCGGGCCAAATTCTTCAAATGCAGTCCATAATCGCTCATAACTTACCTTCAACAAATATATTCTCTGGTATGGCAAAAGGAAATTATATTAAAATGCAGGAGCAAAGCAAATCTGCTTCCAGTTCCTAAGAAAGATGATATGATTGCGACAATTAACGAGGAATCAGGCTACTAGACATCGCTGGAAAAATTCTCCCTTCCTGCTAAATAGACTCATGGCAATACGAGATAGCAGAATGCGCCCTAATCAAGCTGGATTCAAACCGGGATGCGGTTGTGCTACCCAGATATTTACGCTAATAATGGTGCTGTAACATTGCTTCAAATACCAGAAACCCACCATCACTTGCTTCACCGATTTTGAAGCTGTCTTTAATTCGCTTGGTAGAATAGCGCTCTGGAAAGTGATGGAATATGAGTGTCCCAGAGCTCATCCGGCCCATAAAGGCATTTTATCAGCATACAGATCCGTGTTTATGAGGGACTAACAGACTCCTTCGAAATAACTGGTCCATCAGGCCATCCTTTTACCTACAATATTAAACTATGCGATAGACTGGATAATGGGCATCGCTTGTCCGCATTCAAGGGAAATTAGTCCAGAGCATAGTATCATAGACCTTGCATACGCTGATAATTTAGTCCTTTGTGCTGAAAGTTATAATGAAATGCAAATGGGTTAAACAATGTGTTAACAACTGCAGCAAGAATTGGACTCAAAATCAATGTAAATAAAATGAAAGTGTTTTTGTCTTACATATGAGATGCTGTAAAATACCTATTTTTAATTCATTGCCGATGGATGAAGTGCACGACTTTAAATACCTTGAATCCACCCCAATCCCAAATAGCCAGGCGAAGGGTGAATTTGCAACCCGGATAACGACAGCTAGAAACATGCTTTTCCGGTTGGTGAAACTTTTGTGAAACCGTGGCGAAATCATCATAAAGACGAAAATCCGCGTCCATATAGCTGCAATTCGCTCGATCTTGCTATATGGCTGCGAAACATGGCCAATGAGAGTGAAAGATATTATGAAGCTATTGGCCTTTCACCACTCATATTTAGTATATATTTTACGGATATTTTCCATTGAGCGGATAAAATCGCACATGAGTGTACCCCTATCTTCCTGTATGAATAATGTTATCACAGTGTCGGCTTCGTTGGTTAGGGTACATTCTCCGTCGTCCACCACAGGAGCTGACGCATATTTCATTATTTCCTAAACCCTGTGATCGATTGGCGCCAAAAGCGAGGAGGACCAGTCAAGACCTGGACTGATATAGTCAGATAGTTTTGAACGTACAGAAGGACCAGCGATATATGGACCTAGACGATGGAAAAAGGAGTGGTTTCTATTACTACTAACGATGGCGTCAGACCGAGCAGTTTGGAGGCATTTTATAGCCAGCAGAACCAGCCAAACCAGTAATGATGAGATCTGTTAGAAGAAAATAATATATTTAAAATTAGACACCTCGTCTCACTGTAATTCAGATATTAAATAAAAGAAACTAGAAATGTTCTTTACATTGAATTATTAAGCCTCAAGAAACCACTGTGCGGAGATAATCCATTAAAATTATAACTAATTTTTATTTAGTCTAGTTTATTGAAATCGAATCATTATAATTATAAATATTCATATCAATAAAAATCAAAAAAAAGATAAATTTTAAAACATATATTCTTTTCCATATATTATACCGAGCAATCAAATAATATACAAATAGCGACAAAAACTGGACAAAGTACCACAGTTTACTCATACATAACATGTTTCTTCTAACCAATGAATAATTTAAAAAAAAAGAATGAAATAGAAAAACAAGCTAAAAAAACTAAAATTCATAAATTTTGAGAAACATTCTAATTTCATTCATTCGAATTTGGTTTTATCAAAGTTTAAAAGAAACATTCTAATGCGAATATATTTTTCACAAAATACGAATCTGACGATTTTTTAAAATATTGAGAAAATATTAAGGAGAGTGACTAACGAGATTTATAGTAATGGCGCTTGCAAATGATGGTTTTAGACAATCTATTCGTTCCTTCATTATCAATAAACAAATCAAAGAGAATATCAAAAGAATATTATCTAAACAAAACGATAAGTAGAATTAGTAGCAAATATATGCATAATTGTTCAATTCAACAGGTAAATCAAAAATCAAGAAACCGATGATAAAAAAGCTATCATATAAAAATGATTAACATTAAAGTAAAATATTGATGTACTACAATAAAAATTACAAAAATTACAAAATTACAAGGTTTAGAACTACGAAAAAAATGAATTTTACGATACATTCTCTTTATGATCTTCTCGACGAAGTGAAAGACTGAGGTTGGTAATTGAAAAGTAATTTCGTAAATTTTCAATTCATCCATTTTTGGCAATTTGGAGCACCGCAGAGACATGCTATTTTATCATTCGTATCCTCGATATCGAATTGATAGTCGTAAGTCAACTAAAAATAAAATTAATTTTCCAAAAAAAAGAAATTAGACCAAGAAATTTATAATTAATTAAAACGTTTATAATAATTAAAATCCCAATTAAATTTAAAGGAAAGAATTTTTACAATTTAAGCGCCTTTAAATTAGTACAGCTTCTTCAAATTAAGCAAATTAAAAGAACTATTGGTAAATTAGATATTAAAGTGAAACCAAATTGAATACCTCTTCACCAGCACTTATAGGACGATTTGCAATAATAATAATTTTTTTATCGTCACCAGTAGGTCCTGAATCAACCAGTCGAGTACTACAGTTAGGATCACATGAATGGTTAATATATCTTGCAGGCCCACCAGCCATCGTGGCATCAATCAATCGTTCATCATCGATTCGAAACATGTAAACACCACGGTTTTGTGCTTCATAACGTTTTTCACGCATTTCGCCAACCTGAAATCTTATTCAACGTAAATACTGAAGAAAAAAAAGTGAATGATCAAAAGGTTAAAAATAAATAGATATGCAATGAAAGTCTTTTAACAAATTTAATGCAAGAAAAAGTGGCCTATAATTGTTGTTTAACCCATTTTGCGTTGCGATTCATCGTAATTATGGCTATATATTCATTCCCAATAGCCAAAGTGATAAAACAAGACCAAATTCTTCCATTCAAGAATTGCACCAGAATGAAACGAAAAACGAACTTACCTCAGTACGAATTAGTTCACCCTTATATTCAATAATCATTGCATTCATTTCAATGTCTCTTGAAGCAAATAAACCAAGGCCCTGAATACGCGATCGTGCCAAATATACGGTATTTTTCCACTCTTTCTTCATTTTTTGATATTGAGAATAATAACTACTACTCAACGGCCCAGTTTCCCAGCGAGCATAAGGATTCCATAAATCATTTGAAAAGGCACATAGCGATAGTGACCGAGAACAGATTTGTTCTAACGATGCAGCTGGACCGCCACGATCTGAATTAAATAAATATATTAACTTTAAAAAAAGTAAACAAATTTAAAAAATAAAAATACGAAAATTACTGCGTGTATCTCGCGAGACAATATCCAATCCAATATTTGAATGAATAGAAGCAGCAACAGCTGGCTGATTTCGTCGTTTATGTTTTATAAGAGTACGAAATCTTCTTTCAGACCGAGTGCACCCACAAGGATTGACTGCAAGCGGAAGATCCATTAATGGGCTTCCACCATGTTTAAAAGAATAAGTGGCCAGCTGATCAATTCCAGGCAGCTAAAAAAAAGTAAATATGAAATAGTTATAGAATATATAGAATATAGAATAAAATAATTTTAGAAAATTAAAATCTTATACTAAAATAAATTATATTATGGTATTCCAAAGTTAAAATACCGATTCAATCATTTTTGAAATCGCTGTTTCATTCAAACCATACAAAGTTTCGCCAATAATTTGAACTGGAAACAATTTCAGCACATCATTATTTTGTTTCTGGCGAAGATTCTGCACCATTGTCACAATGCGATTCCAAGCGTCTGAAAATTTATAAAATTTCATTAAGATTAGCTTTTCTAAACCATTTAGAAAAAAATTATTCAAATTAAGAAGAATCGAGAAAACAAACTTGTACAACTAAATTCACGGATTTCTTTACCGCCTTCATATGTTATGATGAATTGTGGCCCTGATCGATTATCAGCGATGGAACAGTTGTAGCGGATTTTTTCCATGCGATTCAAAGGTGACCAATAAATTCGAGTGATTCTATATCCAATCTTAAAATTGGCTTAAAACAAAGAGAAACAAAGAAAAAAACAAACGAAAACAATAGACCTACTTTGAAAGGAAGACCTTTGTAAAAATTCGAAAATATAAATTTTTCAGCAAAAGAAATACCACTCACCGGAAATATATAATCAGAATTGTGAAATGATTTTAACTGATCAGGAAGCAATTGTCCAAGCTGATGGAAAATAAGTGTACCGATTCGTAGAATAAGCTGATTACCATTACTGTGGAAAAGCTTAGCGAGAACTTTGTTTTCGTTTCGATCAATATAAATTCGACGTAAAGCATCGAGTCGATCAATGGAAAGTTCCGGACGAATATCATCATGTAAGCTACATATGAAAGTCTAAAAGCACATTTCAACAGTTCGATAAATAAATACGAAAAAATAAATAATATAAAGTGGAGAAAACTCCCAAAAAAAAAAAATGAACTTTCACCTTATCTTTCATGAAGTGACCATTTGCAGATTTCGCACAAGCCAAATGAAAATGCGATTCACAATTTAATTTATAACATCGAAGAGAAGCGCCTGATCGTTTGCAAACAAGACATAAAACATCAGTTGACCGCCTCAATGCTTCATCGACGTTACTTAATGCACCAGAAGAATTTTCGTAAACCTAAAGTTTACCAATAATTTTCGTAAATTTAAAGTTTATCAATAATAATAATAAATGAATAACTCCAATAAGCAATATAACCCTATTTACTTATAAGCACATTGCTATGAGCTTTTATACCTCCTGAGACCAGATTGCACAATTAACATGCACCCAAGTATTGGCATCAGCATTTATTAAACGCCCACAAACATCGATATCGCCATCACCCCGTATACCACAAAAAGCACATGTTCGTGCATCATCCTTACGCGCTGCGCGCATACCTTCACTAGATTGCAGTTGTATAGCCATATGTTTCTGAAATACTTTTAAATAAAAATTTATTTAAATTATATCGAAATTTTAAATGAAAAAGAAAAAGTTAAATCATTCACATCAAATTTAAATCAAGTAACCTGTCGAACCTGACTTGCCAAATGTTGAAAACTCTCCAATAACTCTGCATCGTACTGCATCCAAAGCCGACCCTTCCATTTTTGATCAGTAACTTTTTGTACTTTTGATTCAATAAGCGCTGATAACTCTCTTGCATAAATAGTCTAAACATTAGCGAGTTAGAAAAATTTATTGCAGGGCAAAACAAAGCATAACTCTCAAAAGCATTACCTGAAGTTTATAGCTTTGAGAATCAGGATCAGAAATGGCCAATCGACTGTCTAACGGTGACCCGTCTCCACCAACTGGTGTACTGATATTTTCTGACTTCATCTTCAAAAATTTTTGATTATTCTTTTCAAGGTGAAAGAGAATCAAATGAGATTAAAATAAATGGATTGTTCCATTTTGACCGAAATTGTATATATATATATATATGTACTTGTAGTAAAATTTTCTACGAAAATATTTAAGAAAATATATTTTACACAATATAAAAATACATTCAAATTAAACCTTTCCTAGATGAAGATATTTGGCAAAATTTTCTGCACTTATCTGTCGCAGTTTTGATAATGTTTCTTCATCAACAAACCGTTCGGCTTTCTGAAAATGGCTTTTTCATGCAAACAAATGTTTTATAAGAAAAGAGATATTAAATATTTTGATTGGATGCTTTGTGATTAATTAATAATTAATAGGTACTTCGTATTTGGAAATAAAATTATATCAAAAAAATCATATAAAAAAATTTTAAAAATTATATTGAAAAAAATTATAAATTATAAAGAAACGACATAGTACGATATATCTTTGATTTTAACTGTTTTTGAAAATTAATATCGATAATTCTTAAAATTCTTATAAATATCTTAAAAAGCATGAATAATTCAAAAAAATTTGATGTGTGTAATAACTTCAGCTGCCATAATATTTATATTGATTACATTGTCAAAACAACATAAAAATAAAATAAAAGAGCTTTAAATAATAGCGAACCTGGAGATCATCAGTTGACAATGCTATTCCAGCATTAACAATGAAATTATAATAACAAGACATTGAACAAAAAGATGCTTCACCTTCTTTCTTAAAAAAGAGTAAGAGAAATTAATATATTCAAAAAGAGTAAATGAAATTAATATATTATAAAGTGAATATAGATTAAAATTAAACTACCTCCTTGAAATATAAATTTAGACGCATGAAATTCAAAAGACTGCAAATTACAAATACCTCTTCATCAATAAGTTTGGACTGTGGCACAACCGAGTGTTTAATTATAGAATTACAATTTCGACAATGCGATATTTCATTGTGTATATCAATCTTGCTCTGTTCTTGAATTTCACCTGAAATAAATTTCATTTTTTCAGCGAAAAATAAATAAATAAAGAATGAGCCTAATAAATTTCATGACAAAAAACCTTTGCAATTTATCGGTGTATCAGGAGGAGTGTCCATTTTAAAATCAGGACATGGATTTATGTCCAACAACTTCATTAGTTGCCGATAACTGTATTCTGGATCAAAGCCATCTTCACCTTCCATTATAATGCTCACGGCCACTTGATCAATAAGATTTGGAGGCTAAAAAAGGTGCAAGATTGTAAATTTAGATGAAAGAACTTTCAGAGAAAAAAGACGAAATTGTAATTTAGAAAGACCAAAATTTTTTAACTAATTAACAAAGAATTAAAAAGACCTTTAAAAAAGAAGATCTGTGGGGAGGTTGAGGGGAAATAGCTTCGGGAATTCGAGAAATAGTTCGCAACGGAGGAGAACGTGATCTACGATCAACACTCAGTGACTTCATTTTCATGGATGATCGATCAAGTTCAGAATCTTCCAGCCAAAGGAAATTGGTATTTGTAATTTGTGCTCTGAATTTGATTATTAAAAACAATAAGAAACATAGTTTTAAAAAATCATGGAAAAACATTTGAATATTTCAAATTATATTATAATATAATTTTTTTATTTATTGAATGATTTTCAGTTGTATTATAATATAGATTTCCGTATTTAGTGAATGAATGAGAATAATGAAAAAATCACTGGTACAATGATGTCATCTTGACGTCGTTACAAAAAAAAGACATTGAAGGGTACAATGATTTTTCTTCGATTGGACATTCAAACATGCGAGTATAATAATCATGCATGAACAGCAATCGTAAACTGCCAATTTTATCACCAGCTATTGAACATTTTTCTGAAATTGAACAAAATTACTTCGAATTTATATCAAATAATCTGCAATAATTAGAAACTATTCGATTGAAAATTAAAGTTTAATGATTATTTATAAATAATCACTAACCAGTACGATCAGGAAGATCAGTTACACCAAACATGGATAATGATGAGCGATCAATTCGAGGAACAGGTTCAAGAGCTCGACGAGGTAAGGGAGGACACAAACGTAACTGCGTGGAAATACGCTCCAAAAGCAATTCGTATTCATTACTAGAACCAACTGGCAATTTTTTCTGTTGACTTCTCTTCTTTTTTGGTTTAATATTTTCGAAATGATGCAATTCAAGTAGGCAATTCTCTTTGAACAAATCATCTAGAATTATTTGTAAACCAAATGCCAAATAATAAAATAATATACATTAAATCCTTTTAGAAAATGAAAAATGATACACAAAAAATTGATAGCAAAAAAATTGCAGTTAAAATTAAAGAAATCGTCATACCTGATGTAAATGTTTTTTGAGGAGAACAAAGTTTTCCAGACAAAGGTTCGAGAAGTCTTTTGAGAATTCCACTTTTTTTTGCTGCTTCAGCACCTTGAAAAAAAAAATTCGTAGAGGAAGAAAAAAATTGGCATAAATTTTTGAGGCCACTGATTATTTATTTTTAGCACTAAAAAATAAAATTTCTACTAATTCTGCTTTTATTCATAGATAAAAATTTTTCAACCATACTGGATATGGAAATGTATATTAAAACTATTTAGCTTTCTTTGTGAAGCAATAATAAATAATAATAACAAATAAATGAAATGGTACAAACGGATTAGCTTTAGGTCCTCAAAAACTTACGATGAAGAAAATCTTTTTAGACTAAACTTAACCATCATGTGCAATTGATCTCAAATTAATTAAAACACCTCTAGAGTCATAAGATTACAAGTCTCAAACAAAGAATGAAATAATCTTTATCCAAAAGCTTAAGGTTAATAGATAGTTCCTAGATTGAATCCTTCAAGTGCTAACCAGCTTCACATGCAACAATTTAATATTAAAATATTATAGTTTAAATTATCACCTACATAGCAGAAATCGTTTATATAAAAGATTTATGATTGGATCAAAACAATTTCCTAATTCTGCAAAAATGTGAAAGGACGATTTGTGCAATATCTATTGTGCTATTAATGAATTAAACTACTGGATAACTCTAGAAAAATTTTCGTCTCCCTTCACTTGACAGATATAAAATGGTACGAGATAGCATGATGTGTTCTAAGCAAAATGCTCTGGATTTAGAATATGTTAGTTCAGAGTAGAAACAGAACATGCTAAACAAATGTTCACACTAAAAGTTAGAACATTACTTCAACTATCCATCACATATTTTATTAAATTCGTTACTTTCAAACCAATTATTTAGAAGGAGATGGAATATTTAGGTGAAGATTATCCAACTTATTAAAGTTTTTTACCAACGTACCTAAGTCTGCGTGTAGGAGGGGACCTGACATACCATCTCATAACAAGAACCGGTGCCAGAGCCATGATAGTTCCTTTATTCAACTGCACAAAAAAATGATTGTGGATATGTCATTCACCTACATATGATATTCGGAATGTATTAATCAACAACGTCACAATGAATCACGGATCCTGAGTACGTCGATAAGTCTTTTTTTGTTAATTTATGAGAGATGCTGCATCGTGCATTTCCCATTAATGTAAATAAAATCAGTCGTTTTATACACCAGACGCTAATAAAGTATATTAATTAATAAATTCTTAAAAAATCAATTGACCGCAAGTGCCAATTTACAAGCATTTTGGATCCACTATAACGTGAAATATGAAGTAGCCAAGAACTGGGCAAAATTCTCTGCTCGAATATCAACAGCAAAATAAAAATTCGCATTTACACGGCAGCTATCTTGTCATACGGTTTCGAAACATGGCCAATGAAATGAAGGATACCACAAGACTAAAGATTATCTATCTAAAACATTTCTAGTATAATTTATATGCTTATGAAAAGAAAAGAACCTCATATGATTCGATCCACATATAATTCGATCCTCTGTATTAACATAAATTTAAACTGGATTGGTTGGAGGCCTGACCATCTTCTTTACAACTGACGTGTTTCTGCATGCAAAACTTTATGGACAACACCAAATGAGAACTAATGGGACGGACTAACAAACAACACAGATTTCGAACACCTAACTATATGGACTTAGGCGGTAGAAAAAAAGCTGGCTTGCGTTACTTTAAACTATGGTTTCGAACAACCAAAACTGGAAATACCCTGCCTTATATCAGTAGAACCAGTCTAGTCATTGTAGTTATTGTCTAATTATTGTTCTGTTAGAAGAATTTCTTGTGTAATTTCACAGTCTTTTTCGATTGTAAATAGTGACCGTTTTAAAAAGTCTATTTTATTTTTCGATTTCCATTTTATTGTTTATTATCATAAACAATATTATATATTATATTATTATCTAATTATAATAATTATAACTAATATTTATTGTTATTACTGGTTATTATTATTGTTATTGTTTTTGTTATTTCATTTATTTCATTTAAACTATAAACTAATCTAAAAGCAGAAAAGCAGAAAAATTGATCTTCAAGTTTCATTCCACAAAAGGAAAGACTGGCAAACTGACCATGTACCATTATTGCAACTTGTGTTAGCAGATGATCAACAACGTCGAACACATCTAATTCGATTTGAGAGGTAATACTACTAGCATACACATCGCCTAATTTAGCTGGCCTTTCATATTCTTCAAACAGATCATCCTCAGTTTTTCGCTTCCTTCCCAATCGCTGTTTTGTCCAATCCGCAGAGCCAACTGATTCTCTTCTACTGTTTGATGGAGTTGAAGAACCTTGAATAAATAAAGGAAAGACTGAACACAAAAAATAAAACAAATTCCTGCAAGTTTTAGACATATCTTCGAGAAAAATTATTACATCTCCAATCATCTCCAATGTCATAAAATCCACTTCCCAAAAAATTAAATGAAAAATGCATACCAGAACCAAACTGAGAACCATCAATATCTGGTCTAGTTGAAGAAAAACGATGTGTGCCTATTGAAACTTGATAATTATGAGCTATATTCTGCCGTTGATCACTTACGAACGAATATGGCGGTGGTGGTCGTAGACCACTCGACGTCACGTTAGGTGACCTGATATTATTCATGTTTAAACTCGCTGCTTGCGAAGCCATTTGATTTGCGAAATCAGAAGGTATGTTGTTCTTTACTTCAAAATCTCGTACACTCGAAGAATGCTCTTTAATATCCCTTTTACAATTTTCCAAATCTTTTTGCCTTATCGGTATTGCGTTTATAAGCATTGCTAAGCAAGATCTGAAATAAAACGGAAATGCAAATTTATATAATAATTTTTATAAGAAATCTAAATACCGACTTATCAGTATCATTTAATTCAACATCAATTCGCAGTCCATTTGCATCAAATTTCTGATTGTTTTTATTTAACTGCCGCCGCTTGGCTGTCAAATTTTTCTTTTGTTTGCGCATTCGAGCCAAATCATTTTCTATTGCCTGAAAATTTGAATTTGGTACGGATTTTTAATGATTTTGTGAATTTTCAATTTTTATTCTTAAAATTTTCAATAGTATTAGACGCTAAAATTATAATATATTCGAAAATTTTTGCTTTTAAAGCTTAAAGAAACTCATTTATTTAAAAGCTTTGACCAAGCTAATAAATTTAAAAAATTTAAGCAAATAATATTTACAGTTTGATATTTAAAAAGTTCATTGCTTCGCTGTTGCAATAAACTATAATTATCTAGAATATCTTTGCTTAAATGTGCTAAACTCGAAGCCTGATTTCGCGTATCGGTTAAAACAGCACCGCCAGTTCTTTCGATGCCCTAAAATGCTGAATAAAAATTTATCGAAAATTTTCACCTTTTAAAAGAATGAAAATAATAAATCCTATGAAGAGGCAAATTACATTGTACAAATTTTAAAATGTGGACATCCGAGTGACTAATATATTATTTACCATATTGTATTAAAAATTTTTTAATTTTCTTTTACCTGAGAATAGTAAGTAGTTCCAGACATTCCAATCTGCAAAGGCGATGAACACTGCGAAGACGATGCGATTGCACGAACACAACCAGCGTGCACTCTTTTTACTTTGGGAATCTATATAGATGTATTTATTGTTAGTAATTATTCTATATTAAAAAAAGGAAAAATTTTGGAAATAATACCTAGGAAATTATGCTATTTTATAACTTGATTAATTCAACCGAAATTTCCCAAATACATTCAATACATTCATGATAAAAAATTATTTTATTATTTTATTAAAAAATTATTTATTGAAAAAACATTTTACCTTAGCTCGATTAGCACGGTTTTCCCGTGCTCTGTTAACGTATTCTTGGCGACTGTTGGCATCCAGAGATCTCCACATACGATGGATCTGTTTTACACGCTCATTCCACTCAGGATAATCTTTTTTCCACTCAGGATGATTAACATTAGCATAAAGAACTGCCGCTTTAGTCGCACGTTCACCCAACGGTTCATCTTCTTCCCATCTTTCAGTTGCTTGATTAACACGCTCGATAAAACTTTCTGCCATCTGAACTTTAAATTATCAATCTATTATATTATCAGTTATTTAAATGCGTCAGAAGAAATAAGGCGTCAAATGGTTTTTCCACTAACGCCAAGCATAACTGGCTCAATTCCTGTCTCCCTGGAAATCCATCACTGTTAAAAACCGCGATGAAATAACCCATCTGCAAATGATCTTCTAACAAAAGAATCCCACTCTATTAGGCAGCATAGCCAACCAAATATGGTGGATGCTTTTCGAGGAAAGAAATCTAATGGAAGTCAAAAAAATAAATTCCAGAGATTAATTTAAAATTTTCAAAAAATATGAAAATAAAGAATTAAAATTTTGAAACTATAATTCAGTATTTTTTGATTAAACCTGGCTGCTACATCGTGAATTGGATTGACTCTGGATGTTACTTTGCAATGGATAAGATAAATTCTGTTGAGAAATACTCGCTCGATTTTGATTTTGCACTATCTCATCGCTTCTTCTCGCATCGAATTGTCTATTCTGTAATAATATTGATAGGAATATAAGAAACAGAAACTGATAAACAAAATATTTTATTACGATAAATGAAAAAAACAAAAAACAAGGAATGATATGAAAAAACCTGAGCCATACTAGAAGAATAACCAAAAGGTACTATATGTTGCTGTTCATAATTTGATGTTTGCATTGACGACATTCCCTCTTCCGTGCCACCATTTTCTTCTAAAAATATAAATGAATGCCAAAATAAATATTTTTGAAATTTTATAACCATATGAATCTAGTATTTCTAATCAGTGTAGTACCACTTTCAGCAACATCCATTATGACATCATCATCCTCTTCATCATATACACCAAAGATACCAATATCCAAATTATCAAAATCTATGGATTCAATATTGTTCATAATCTCATTTTCCATTATATCCAATACGCTTTCACCATCTCTCAAAGCCTACAATTTTGAAATATCAAAAAAAAGAAAAAAAAGCAAAATCAACTAACAACTGCAGACTATAGATTTTTAAAATAAATATTTAAGTAAAAAAGATAAATTATTCAAATTCTTTTATGCGAAGCATTTTTATTAATTTTTAAAATTTTTTTAAATTTTAAAAAACTTTATAAAATTTTAAAATTTTAATGTTTTAAAAAATTTTTAACATTTACATCAACTGATGTTTCACTAAGTTCACATGGTAAATGATGTTTTTCTACATTGAAGACTGTTTTTTGAATTTCCTGAAGAGTGGGTTCCTCGACTACCATTTCAATTAACACTCTGCCTTCAATCGGTCTCATACCGAAAAAGCTTTCCTAAATATTCATTCATTAACAAAATTGAAAAAATGAAAAAAAAATTTGACTTTATCAAGCATTTATCAAGCAATAAAATTATTGGAAAATCCTAACTTGTATAACAGGAGGATAATTATCCTCAAGCTGCGATCTTCTTGGCTTTCTTGGTCTCTTTATCTTTGGTTTGCCTAAAGCTGAATCATCATCGCCATTTGTATCTTCTTCCGCAGCTAATAAACGATGGCGCGGTATCTATATATATATATATATATATATTATATAAATAATTAGGATAACACGAAATAGATCAAAAAAATCGACAAAGACAACTATTTTTTGAAACCTTACCCTAACAAAAAATCCTCCAACACCAAGTTTTAAAACTCTTCTGCCAGGTCCTCCTCGCATTCCCCTACCTCGACCACTTGGCATTGGCGGTGTTATTTCCACTTCTTCGTCATCCATTATATCTAAAACATATATAAAACTGAAAATCTTGAAACAAAACATCCATCATCCATCATAAAACATCCACCATAAATTTTCCTACACCTTTAAAACTATTTAATCATTCGTAAGAACAAAATCTGACAGCAAATACCATCATAGGAGTGGGTTCGTGCTCCATACCCATAATACTGCGCTCCATAAATTGTTTCGTTGTGAAAAGTTAGACTGGATTTCGTCAAAAGTCCTCCGTAACGCATTTGTAATACTTCCCATGCTGATCGATTCATCGCAACATTATCACATACCAATATATTTAAGGAATCATTGATTTGTAATTTTCCATGAGGTCGACATAAAGAACAGCGGAACCCATGTTCAGACGCAGCTTCTAGAATTTCTTCACCAAATACTTCTTCGCACTTCCCATGAAACCACCTTAAAATATTTCCAACTATTTCAAAGACTTGAAAATACAAGAATAAGAACATAAACGAATTTCGTTTAAATATCCAAAGTTTGCCTTGAGCAGTGCTGGCATTTGATAATTTCATCCCCAATTTCATAAAACCGATAGCACCTCAAACATTTACGCAATGAAAAACACGTCTCACATAAACTTTCCATACGATGTAAATCAGTGCACTTTTCTATTTGTTTCTCACACCGTCGACAAGCAGAACACCTATAAAACCAATTAAATTCAGGGGGAGTTAATTAAAATTTATATTAAATAGAACTACAAATAACTACAAAATCGCAAAAAAATAAAAAACATGAAACGTGCCATTTGCATCGCCATGAACCTTGAGGAACATGGTCCAAACGTACAGGAAGACAGTACGTATGATATGAGATGTCACATTCATCACATAAAATAAGATGTGATTCATCTCGAGCCTCTCCGCAAGTTTCACAGATCATACAGTTCAAACATCTCCAACCCCTCTTCACAATTGTTTGGTTCAACTGAAATAGCTAAATTTCTTCTTGAATTTGCATGGAACCTTGAAAAAATAAATGTAAGGAAGCAAAACATAACCGACTAATAACCGACTAACAGTATTATGAAGGCCAACACAAAATGTATGATAGCTTTGAGCACACGTAGCACAAGAAACCATTGTGCCCTCAACATCTTTACCGATGCTACCGCATATCAAGCAAACGGGCATTTGCAAAAAAAATGTATCTTCAGCGTCTGTTATTACCACTGTTCGAATATACTCATTCTCTTCAAGCCGATTTTTCAACTCTTCAGGTTCTGAGCTTTCTTGGTCAGTTTCACGTGAAGCTATAGCAGCTGTAGCTGCAGAAACTAATGCAAGCATGGAAGATGTTTTTCCTCCTCTATAAAAAAAGTGTGCATAAATTAATAAAATTAAAGAAGTTAAAAAATCAGTTTAAGTAAACCAAAAAAATTTTTTTCAAGAAGACAAATTTAGCATCACAGTACTAACGGTCAAACATACAAAAACAACCTCGATCTACGACCTCGCCCATTTTTCATGGCTCCTCTTGCACCTCTTTTTCCTCTATTTGATATGCTATAATCAGATACATCATGGAAACCAGCGAATGAACGTGTTCGCATTGAATTTGAACGCAATAAAGTTGAAAGTGGCTTCGAAACACCATTTCGACCACCTCGATGTGAATGAGAAACTCCTTCACTTTTTTCGCGTCTGAATTAAAACCAAATTATAGCTGACTCCAATGATGTAAAATAAAAGCGAAACTACTTATCTTCTTCAATTAGCATTCATTCATCATCATTTTTACTTCGGATTACCCCACTGCAACTGGGATCAAATTAATAATATTAAGCCTATCATAACTTAGGCAAAATGAAAATTCAGGGCGATCTTAGGGATGAGATGTCGCTTGGAACTTCCTTCTTTCTTAAATGATTAAGTGATAAAACTGTTTAATCCTATTTGCTATGACACAAATGATGAACAAAAATTGTATAACGAAAATGCAAAGGCTTTAAACGATAAAACATATGAGTGTAGTATAATGTTTAACTCTACATTTCTATATTTCTTGAGTATGACTGACAGTTTAATATTTAAATTAAACGTTGAAATTTTTTTACTTATTAAATATAAAATATATAACTGCTTTACGTTTTTCGAAACTTTCGGTTTTTTAAATTCTTTTTAATTCAATTGCAATTTTTTAGTAAAATTGAAATAGAAAATAAAGGTAAAAATAGAACCGAAGGCAAAACCAAAGGGATTTTGTGTACAATCCTAATTATTATTACATATAATTATTACAGTTATAAACTCCTCATAATCATCTACAAATTTAAAATATTTGAATTTAAAAGACTTTAAAAATAGAAACAATTACGCAATAAAAATTAAATTGACCTGTTAGATATATGAAATTCATCAATTTCAGCTGCAGCATTTGCATCACTGTAGTATACTGGAGATGCTTCAGAAGAACAATTTTCAGCATTATTCGATACGACAACAGATGAAGGACCTTCTTCTTGATCTATATATACTTACTTAATTCCCAAAACTATTTAAAAATAACTGAAAAAAACAAATAAAAATATCAGCAAAGGATTAAAAAATTTTCAGTAAAAGACGATTCTAGAGCTTACTTGACTGATGGGTAATTGAGAAAATATCGTTGAATGATGAATCCAAATTCAGTTCAGTGAATGGGCTATTTCTATTACTGGATGCATGCGAATATACATTATCAAAAATTGCATTTCGAGAAGAATCATCATGTGTGGAGATGGAGGCTGGTGATGGAGCCAAAGAACCGCCACTTGCTGAAGTCATCATTGCATCAGCAACCAAAGGCGAATTACGGCAAGGTGGGCATATATATTCAACTTCAACGGATCCTACGCTATTCGAATCATGGTCACACTCCAAATGAATCCACCTGAATAATTCTAAAACTGTAAAATCTTTCATCACAAAATTCCACACTTTAAAAATTTCAGCTTATTTTTTAATATGTATTCAAATCGTATTTCTGAAAATTTAAAAAAATTCACCTATGGCAAATACTACAAGTTCGAATAGCAGCACCAGGAGATAAACTATGAGAACAACTTGTACAAAAAGAAGTTGAACTATTTGTTTGAAAATCTGTTTTGGATAAACTTTGCAATGATTTCTGGACCTAAAAGAAACAAATTAAAACTAGATCATGAGCACTGATGCAAATTAAATGATTAAAAACTCACTTCCTTTACGATACATTGCGGGTTATCAGCACAGACTTCGCTTGATCTTAAAATGATCATTTTATAAGATTAATAAATATCTATAACATAAGATATATAATATCAAACATTCAATAAAAATAATTTTCAGGTATCAAAATTTATATTAAAACTAACAAAAATCACCTAACGATATTTTGAAAAGATAAATTTAAAATTATTCGAGATTTTAACAACTGAAATAAAAATTATAATATCGAATCCTTTATAATTCGGCTTAAACCCAAAATATTATAAATGGTTCAAAATGGAATTCAAGCACACAGAAGATAAAGAATGATTTTATGGTATGAAGAAAGAATTATTAATTACGATTTTAAACAGCTTTGTTGAATTCCTTCACAGAGATGAAAGACAAAAACGAAAAAGAAACGTCAAACAAATCATACTCAGACTTGCGAGTGCGAGCGTTTCCATTATCTGACAATGAGGCTTTATCGAACGAAAGTGACAACTGCGCTGAATCCATGTAAATCCTCTTAAATCTGAAATTATCAGTTCTTTACTCTTAACAATTCCAATTGCGCTTTAATTAAATAATCTACTTTCTAATGGAATTATAAGACAGAAGTGGTTGTTGTTCAGGTTGTCTCTCGAACACAGAGGTCCAGACGACGCCTCAAAGAGGAGCTATTAAAAATGCTGCTGGGAGCCACCTCAACCACGACTAACTCCCTGGCGAGAATCCTCTTTCAACGTTTTCTGAACCCAAAAAAGCTGCAAAAAAAAACTCTTTCCTGTAATCAAATGACTCAATTCTTCCTATATGTGAATCGATGCACCGTTTTTCTAATCACCAAACAAGTCATATTTCAGCATTAAACCAATTCTCAGTTTTAATTTAAAATGTCGTATTTCAGCATTTAAACTGAATAAACTAACTTTGCATTTAAGCTAAAAGCTATATTTAAGCATTAAACGGTGCAGTTTGGCGTTCAAACTGCACTTCGCATCGAATTTCGGAATAAATTCGCTTCGCGCGAATTAAAAGCAATAAATTGTTACTCACTTTCCAGATTGACAAACTAGCAAGAAAAATTATTTAAAGCAATGGAAAAATCAAAAATGGAAAATAAATAATCTTTTTCGCGAACAAAAATAAAGGATTTTGCCCGAAAAATAAAAAGAAATCAAATGCCACAAACCTTCTCGCATAATAAACGATTCACCGTCAAAAAGTAACGCAATTAGCACGAAACCCACCAAAAAAAAAATCGTAAAACGGTTACTAAAAATCAGCTATAAATAATTCCTCTATTGCAGCCGCATATCTGAAAATTAGTGATTCGGATTCTGTGCCACCCTCAGTTTCATTGTTAATTTCAAATTTCACTGAGAAGATAGGTTTGGTGTGGAAGTTATTGAGGAAGTTCCTTCGCGAAATGTTTTTTCATTAACAGATTGGGAATCTTAATGTCGTGTCTTTCCCGGCATTAGGGATTTACTCTCATGCTATCCTCTAGGCTTACTCTTTGGCTGTCAAGGATTATAGTGCACTTAATATTTAGGCCTTGGCTTCAGGCCTGGACTACAAGTTTTGGCTTAGGATTGGCAGCAGACTGGGATTACTAGCATTTGGAAGTCGGTCTAGAGTTTTGATTTGCAGCGTGGGCTTCCTCAGCAGTAGTTACGAAAACTAATTGACTGGTTATTTGCCTCGAAGTATTCACTGCCAACTTTTATTTTGCCTCTTCACCTTTCTTTTTATTGTCGAAATTTAAATATTTTTATTATTTTGTATAAGTTTCGGAATTTTGCTTCAAATGAATTTATTCATTATTCAAACAAAAATGAAAAACTGTCCCATCAAGAAGTCATAAAAAAATGCATGAAATCAATCGTTATTTGGCGACTTTTTTTAAAAAAAATTTTTTTTCTCGTTTTTTTGTAATAAAATTTTTTTAGTTTTCCGGTCTTTTTATATGGGTTTTACTAAAAATTGAATAATAATTTATATAAATAAATTTTTGCTAAAAAATTGACTAAAGAAAAATTTATTTCACAGAAGATCGAGTAGGCCAACA